TTACATGCTTGTCTCTGCATCACAGACTGAGGGTGTGTCAACCAAAACTGCTGATGATGAACTCACCACTAAACTCATCTTGCACAAATCTCTCTGAAGTTTCTGAAGCGTGTTCATGTGAAGGAGAAAAGCTGATGTTACGCTCTGAATGACAGCGGTAGCTGAACGTGCATGAAGCACCACACTTCAGAAACTGTCTGAAAAACACCAAAGGGGCAGAACTGTACCTTTAAATGAATTTCTAAAGTGTCTCGTTCTGGTTGTTTGGTAAATGAAAGAATGAGTTGGTGTGTTTTTCAGGTCACAGTTCCACGTGATGTCTGTCAAACACTGACAGAAGCTCCAGGACGAAGCAGGAGAGCCTATCTGGGTCAACTGGTTGTTCTCTCGCTCACTGTGCTATGAACAGCTGCTGTGACACTTACTGGAAAGTGTGGGTGTGTTGCTTCCCAGTTAGTTGGTTTTTGTTATATTTTTATAAACAATGACAAATAAGTTTGAACATGAAATTTGAACTTGAGTCCAGAAAACTGTTGAGTCACTTGTTTCCATCAGCTTCAGAGTCCTGTTCCTCTCCTCATGAAGAGAATGATGGTTTGAAATGTTTTGTTTTTTTAATTTTAGTAAGTTAGAAAATAATGCTGTAGTAGTCATGATGTGTTCCATGTGCCTTAAACACAGGACTTAAGAATAAATGTGATTGACATCCTCATTGTTTCTATTAATTAAACCAAAAGATAAGAACTTAGCTGGAAAACATTTCCCAGCAGTAAATACATATAAGAATAAATAAGAAGAAACAGTAGCCAGACAGATGGAAATAGTTCCTATGCTGGAATATGTGGCCGGTGATGGAGGTGGTGATTGGTTGAGGCCTCCAAACAAGACATCTGCCACATTGCAGAGGCTACAGGTCTGTGAGAGACACATGACCTCAGCTTGGACAGTATGTCCTCTCTCTGAAGGTTTACTACTGAGGCATGTGTGTAGGAAGGGGTTGGTAGGGTGTCTGTGGTTCAGTGGGTCAAGCAGTTGTCTCCTAACCAGGAGGTTGGCGGTTTGAATCTTGGTGCCTGCAGTCAAAGTGTCCTTGGGCAAGACACTGAACCCCATGTTGCCCCAGATGGTTAGAGCCACCAGTGTGAGTTGGCGCCACAGATAGCTGCCTTGGTTCTGTACCAGAAACAAATTCCTTGGCTAAATAAAGTGATTATCCTGTCCTTATTGTAGTCAGTTGGGTTTTTGCTAGAGAACTGTGTCAGCTACATAAAATGATGTGCAACTTGTTCACGACAGCACCAGCGGCGGGGTGCGTAGTAGCAGGAGCCCATCTGTCCCATTCCAGAGTTGGTATGAGGAACTTTTAAAGCTGGTCTCTCCTGTGAGCTGGTGTCATGGTAATGAGTTCAGATAGCAGGGCCAGAGTGATGAAACATGGGTGTGTTGATGCCTTCCAGATACCAGTGATGACCATCTGACCTTTTCATACAGCTCACAGTGGCAGGCGTCAGACCCAAACTGTGTGATAAATTGAACGTGGTTGACAGAGTCCTGTTTAAGAGTACACAGCACAGCCCGTGATCCACGGTGGACGGCACAGTGGACTGTATAGTTCTGTTGTTGAAGGAGAAACAAGCTCTGTTTTGTAAAAGAAATCAATTTGCTTAAAGGAGGAAGAAGAGAGACCTCCAGTCCATCTTGACAAACCCAACAAGACTTGTAGATGATTAGTGGGTGTATGGTTTATCACCTCAGCTGTCCCATTGTGGTTAAACTGATCTGTGGAATTCACTGAGACTCAGTAGTTCTGATGCTAAGCAGGCCAATTTTTCATTTAGACAAGTTGACACCAGGAGTGGCAGCACGGTGACGCGGTGGTTAGCGCTGTTGCCTCACAGTAAGCAGGTTCTGGGTTTGAGCCCCAGCCAGCCTGGGGCCTTTCTGTGCGGAGTTTGCATGTTCTCCCCGTGCTTGCGTGGGTTCTCTCCGGGTGGTCCGGCTTCCTCCCACAGTCCAAAGACATGCAGCATAGGTTGACTGGTGTCTCTAAATTGCCCGTAGGAGTGCTTGTGTGTGTGAATGGTTGTTCGTCTGTGTGTTGGCCCTGTGATGGGCTGGCGACCTGTCCAGGGTGTACCCCGCCTTTCGCCCACAGCTGCCTGGGATTGGCTCCAGCCCTCCGTGACCCCGTTTGGGACTAAGCGGTTTAGAAAATGGATGGATGGACACCTGGAGTCAGAGGTGTGGCCTGACTGTATGTGATACTTCTGCAGGCCAAACCTGACTGTCTGTGAGAGGAAGTGAGGGAGAGAGGAATGTCGACTGTTTGCATTCAGTGATCAGCTGAGAAAGGAATGGGGGGGGGGATTTAATGACGAATTTACCACCTACCTATCATTTCCAGTCTGACCTCGATTCTGATCTGACACCAAATCAAAAATCCATCCCCCCCAAAAAGGTCCACCCCATAATGCTGCACAGAATGTTTAGTTTGCATAAAATAGAATAGGATTTGTTTTAAACATGAAAAGTGCCCCAGGTTTTAGTTTTGGGTCCAGATATAATTGTGCACGATGTAACACATTAGTGCATGTCAATACCACTTTTTAGCGCTGAGAATATCCCTGATAGTCAGTTACTAACACTAATCCTGTTACTGTTTGAGTCAACAAAACTAAAACAAATCCTTCTTCTTGTCACAAGACAGCCACACGCGTAGAGACCAACATTAGATCAAGTTCGTTAATATTTAAAATCTTTACTAAGTTGTAGTGAGAACAACATGTTCTCAGCAGACCCTTCCTCTTTAAAAATACCCTGAAAAGAAAACACAGTACTAAGAGCTCAAACTCCCTACATATGTGAATCTTAGATCAGCAGAATGTCACGTTTACTCTAAACACAGGAATACAAGAGTCTTCATCACAGAAGAGCCAGACCGTTCCCAGCTGCATGCACCCTGGGCTACACCCATGACTGTATGCACTGTATTGCTCAAAATCTCAGATACCAAGGCCCAGAATAACCAAAACCAGCAAAGAGAAACATCAGGAAAGATGAGAACAAAACAGTTAAACAGCAAAAATAAGACTACTTCCTGTCTTTAAGCTCCACTTTCACACCTGTTGTGTCTACTGTCAACAGTAAAAACATATTGCATTTGGTTTTCTTTTCTCCACTTTCCAGTAATTCACAGCCCTTTTTTGCTTTAGCGTCAAATGTATTGTTGATTCTCAATCCATCAATTTGCTGAAACTTTATGCTTTTCTCTCATTATTTTTCTTTCATATAAGATAATCATACCTTCTCGTGAGCACAAATGTCAAACAAAAGACAGATAAAATCGAATCCAACCTTTTCTGCGTAAATCACCTACTCCCTTCTGACGGTTTTACCTTGGCTGGCTTTTGCAGTCACTATGCAGAGATGTGTCTTGGCTGTTGCTGATGTAGAGCGCAGACAGGTTGTGGTCCACCTGTCTCACCTGTATCGGTGCAAACCTCTCCCTGGGTCCGCCCACAGCCCCACCCTCACTAACAAAGCTGTGAATATACCTTGGGGATGAGTCACTCTGTGGTTTAGGTGGATCTTTTATAGATGTACTGGCCTTCTTGTTCTTTGTTTTTTTTCTTTGAGAGATTACTGAGGGAGTGTGAGTATATGTGTGTACTGCTTTGTTCAGGGAAGAACAACCAGTTTCACTCCCGTTGCTTTGCTTTTTATGCCTAAAGCAAATTGTTGGACTTAACACAGACTTGAGGCATCAAAGTGTTTTGTCCAGGAATGTGAGCGGATAGCTGTTGACAAGTGTTAACATCGAAGTAAAATGTGACCGTTCTCCCAAAACATGACAAGAATTTGCCTGTGTTATCATTTGTTATCCTCACATCTTTTAACTCCAGTTTTTTTACAAGTGAAACAAAGTACAGCTTGTTAATGGGTGAGATTTAGAGGTTTCTCCCTGCTTCCAGTCTCTGTGTTAAGCTAAGCTAGTCAGCTGTAGCTGTGGTTTCATGCAACCTGACAGATCTGAGTGTGGTGGAAACTGTCTTTTACCCATCAAAAATCAAGTAAGTGTATAAATGTAAAAGCTGGCATGTTACCACGAGGCTGCAAACTTAAGTCATAAACACACACAGTCTTTGACAGTCCAGCCAATCACTTGACATTGTTTGTCAGTGTTATACACCTGGCTATCTGCACCCACTGATGCTTTTATGCCTCTTAACTGTACTTTACCGTGTGAACATTGCATGTTTGGTTTTATTTGCCCGTATTATCATTTGTTATCCTCACATCTTTGAAACTGCTGCAAAGATGCCTGAGAAGGTTTGCATTTTTTCCTCACATAGCTGGAAGCAGGCCAGTTCAACCACATTTTTCTGCTATTGGTCAGTGGGTCACAGAGTACTGTTAGGGGTTGAGTGCCTTTCCTGAGCTCATGCATGTTGAAGAGAGCTGGAAAGTAAATACATGTTCATTTTCAAAGTAAGGGGATTATTAATACAATCAGAGTTCAAGAGGCAGCGATCTGAGTGTTGCAAAGCCAAGAGCGAAAAATCTTATGACATGTATATACAAAGATGCTTGCAACAAAAACCTGACTCCTATAAAAATGCAACTCTTTGAGAGACATCACAGTTTAATCTCTGTGTTTTTTTAAACCAGCAGGTACGATACAAATTTTAACGTTTATCTTCTTCCCATTTTGACCTCACCCCAAAAGAGCACAACTGGAGGATCTACAGTAGTAAAGGTGTGTGTGTGTGTGTGTGAGTCTGTCGGGTGTTGTCTTGTGTGTGTCTGTGTTTCGATGGGCCTGATGAACAGCATTCCAGTGAATAGACCAATACCTACAGACTTTTATATTCCTCACAAGGGCTGAGGTGCATGTGTGGAGTGTTATAATGTTTTGTAGAAACAAAAAGACTTAAGTGATTAGACAAAGGTTGATTCCCTTAAGAACAATCAGCTTATCACTGTGTCAACACTGATGATTCCTACCCAGTGACTCCTATTTAGTAGAAGGACACAGCTGACTACAGAAGTAATACTGGGTTTTATCCATGCACTTTTCAGACAAGAGGAATGAGTGAAACTATCAATCTCTGGGGCTGATTAATTATCATTTCTGATCACGTTATAAAAAAGGCCTGTAGATTTACAAAGCTTATATGTCCTGACAGTGAGATCAGCATCTGTTATGCTTTGCTCTGTGAGAGTTTAACACCTGTAGCATGTCATTTGGAGCAATGCCTTGACAATGAAATCTTTAAATCAGTTATTTGAAACTAGTCATGTTTTGCAGTGAATATGGGAAATGTTATCGGTTCTTATACGCTGGCTAATTTTCTCTTGACAAGAAAACATGACTGATTAACAATTCTTTGTGTTGTAGTTGCTCGGTGTTGCTTTTATATGCTGAACTAGTGTTAGCATAAAACCAATGACGCCAAGAACATCAATAACAAATGCAGAAAGGTCTAAGGCATTTTATTTTGAACAGGGATACACATCTGTCTTACATATGAGGTAAAGTGGAGTATCATCTGCATTAGCACAGGTGGGAAAAAAACCCACTGAGGTTTTGGCTGAAAAAAAAAACACTCCAGAGTCCAAAATTGGACATATCTGTCTTTTTAACACAATATACAGACATATTTATTTTTCCTGACAGTGACAGAGCAGTGAGGTGATAAAAAGTCATCCAATGAACGAAGCATTCAGGTGATGAGGAAGGAGGGAGGCGCTGGTTAGGGGAAGGAGGCGGGTATGAGCAGAAATGTAAAAATAGCATCTGATTCAGCTGCTATATAAATACTGAGTGAATGGAAGATAAAAACTCGGGGAGTCTGTGTTCATCCACTGCCAACTCCGTCTGCCTGCTGCCTCTCTCCACCTGTTGTATGCCTGTCTGTCTTTCTCCTCTTTACCTGCTTGTCTGTTTTTTAATTATCTATCATTTTACGTGGACGACAACACAAAAACCCAGCTGCTGTTTTGTTTAAAGAGATACATGTTAAAAATCACATCTGCCAGTGATCATATGCATCTTTTATTGCTCTTTTAAAGTAATTGGCCTGTGTTTTTAGGTGTTTCATAGTTTGATATCCTGGGCCACTGACTTTATTTACTTGTGCCAGTGGTTTCTAGTCAACAGGATGTCCTTAGCTTTGGCTCTGTGTAGTGTGTCTATGGAATTATTGGACATGCATTCTAGGATAGGTTTGGTTTGGTGGCCCATCCCTTAGTCATAGGCCTAGGGTGAGGGTCGTCCCATGATGCTGAGCTCCTCTCCATTTTATTTTTGTATGCCACCATTATGTGTCACTAACTGTCTCCTCTCTCTCCCTGTACCTTTCTGCAGGTAGTCCTGGCTCTGGAGCTCTACGTTTCTGACGAGCAGTTACTGACTGCATTAACCTGCCTAGTGTTTGCTTCTTTGTTGTGTGTCCTGATGCCTTCTTTTGTCTCTCCTCTATCCACTCACCTCAACTGGTCGAGGCAAAGGCCTAAAGCTGAATTAAATTAATGAACCCAGTGGTTTAGCAAAGTGTGGCTAAAGGCTTCAAGGTCACACCCAGACACACTCAAACAAACCTGCGGTGCATCCTCCCCTTGATAAAACCTGCCATGTCAGTACAGCCCAGTGCAGACAGAGCAGATCTGCATCTGATAGTGAACATGCACATAAATGAAAAACTCTCTCACAATAAAAAAAAAAAAGGATGTACATTGTTTTCATATGCTCTGCAATAACAGAAACACCTGACAGTGACAATTCTATAGAAATATAGAACCAGGTGCATTTACTCAAGTACTGTGCTAAAGTAGCATTTTGAAATACTCGTTCTTTACTTTGGTATTTCCACTTTATGCTATTAATTTCAGAGGGAAATACTATTGGTACATATTTGGTACTACACTTAATTTATCTGCTAGCTGTAGTTAAACAAATTAATTATGTTACATTTTAAAAATATTTATGTACTTTTAAAATGTTTGAACACCAGTAGTTTTTTCCCCTCTTCTTCTTTATTATCCACATCGGATCACATCGTGTATTACACATTTTATTTTGACTGGTCACATTTAGCCGTCATCACTGGCACACTACACACTTGTGTATGGTTAATTACATATATTTGAATACTGTGACTATTTTTTTCCAATATGTTTGTGACCAAATGCTTTTGGAATGTCCGTAGTTAACTACTTAATTATTTAATAAAGACGAGTTCTGTGCTGTTACTAAACAGCTGAGAGGATGGGGAAACACTGGGCGGTGACACGCGTCACTGGCTGAGTCACACATTGATAGCACACTGTGGCATGTGACCTCGCCTGCAGAGCCACCACGGCGTGCTGCCTACATCATGTCCTGTCCTCTCTAGTCCATATAATAATGGTCTAACCTGCAAAAAATCAGCATCACTACAGAAACTCTAAGATGACGTTAACTTACTTTTTGCGCCACACCTCTCACCAGTCCCTCTGACAATGAAGCATTATTGTGTCATCTTCTTGTCAGGTTTTGCATTGTGCATGTGTAGGATTGGGGATACAAAGTGAAGAAATATAGGGATGCAGACAGAGCGATAAAACATATCGCAAAAGTAAAAATTAAATGGATGTTTGTGAATTATTTAATGAAAAATGTGCCTTTAGCAGATGAGAAGAACAACATGAGCAGCTCCATAATAAATACTTTAAACTGTACATGACTGTACATACATCTAGTATTCTACATATTGATTGAGTGAATTTCAGATAATGTATGTAGTAATATAAAACACTGTGCTTTGATGCGTTGCTGTAAAATGATGGTGTGTTGTAGGCATGTATTGTTTGATTTGGTCCATCTGTGCTCAGCTTTTATGTAGTAGTTATTTTTAAGTTTTTATTTTCTCACAGGCCTTTACACTAACATACACCTGCTTTCCTTAGATCCTGGTGTTTATTACTGCATTTAAACATTTTCTTTACACTATCACTATCTATAAACTTCAGCTTGACTGTCCAGTGGACTGACTCCGTCTGATGGTGAACGTGCGCCCTGTCCTGAAATAGTTCTCTATTTCCTCCAGTGAGCGGCTGCGAGTCTCTGGGATACACACGGCGTTGAAGAGCAGGCAGAGGACACACACCACTGTAAAACCCAGGTAGGGAACGTACAGTCCGTAGCTGTCCACCAGGAGTGTGAAGGCGTGCGTGAGCATGAACGCCGTCAACCAGCTGACGGTGACGCAGAGACCTGAAGCCACGCCCCTGGCAACCAGCGGCAGCACCTCTGACATGAGCAGCCATGTAATTGGGCCCCAGCCCATGGCGTACCCTAGGAAACAGCCAATAATGTGTTAACAAAGCAAACAGCTGATATGAAAGAAGATGATGTCACAGCAGAACAAAAGCGCCAAAATTCATGTAAAGCTCTTTGTTAGGGTGCAGTCACACCAGGCTTTTGTTTGGAGGGGGCCATCAGTGCATTATACCTGATGTTCCACAGGTGTAAGGTCACATGCACGCTAACATTATATCCTATCTATGATTTGCTTTTGCATATTCAGGCATGTCAGGCTAAAGGAGTGATGCTGTGGTACCGACAGTCAGCAGCAGCTCTGTGAGGCTGTAGTGGTGCTACTTTGAGCTAAATGACCATGTTGAGGATTTTACCATGTTTAGTTTATGAGCATTCGATGATTAGCCATAAAAACCAAGTACAGCAGAGGTAGATGGGGATGTAATTAGTTTTGCAGGCATATTTGGTCATTAGGTCATCATTTTGTCCTGCTTGTGGCACTGGGTCGAAAGTCAGTGGATCACCCAAGTTAGTACAGTTCTTCCTCTAGGAGAACATGAAAATTTCATGCCAGTGCATCCAACAGCTGTTCAGATCTCAGTCTGGCTGAAAGTAGTGGACGGACCGACCTCCCTATGGCCAAGTTGTTAGCATGGCTAAAACAAAGCTGTGATAAGGAAAAGCATGTATTAGCAAAAGTCTAAAGCTGTTTGCATACTCACCAAATATAAACACCATGGTGCTGATGAGAGGGATGAGGCCTGCTAAACTGGGCTGGCTGGCCTCTAAAGGAGGACTGTAGTTCAGAGCTGTGAGGTTGGGAGGAGCAGGGCCTGGAGGGCAATATGTGGTGTGGGAATTAATGGTCAGAGTCAGAGCAGACAGGAACATCAGCATGCTTGACGTGTACAGCAACGCTTTGCGTCCTGCCTTGTCCATCAGAGAGGCTGCTGTGGCTACAGACAGGAGGCGAACCAAACCCACAATGGCGGCATCATACCTGACCAGTACAGAACAAGAATACATTGGTATTTGGAGCCTGCTTAGAAGTTAAATCAATAATCAAATCAATATAATATTTCTCCTACTTGGGCTCCAGGGAGACTTGACTCTTGGCAAAGATGGGCTGCAGGTAGACCAGAATGGGCGTGATGCCGGTCATCTGCTGCAGGAAACGCATCACCACTGAGATCATGATTGGTCTGTAGAAAATGGGTGTGGCCAGCTGGGACAGTGTGACTTTACTCTGTGTCCTGATGCTGTGCTGCATTGGTAGAAACATACACACTGTGCTTATCTGAAAACTCTTCTAGCATGCGAATCAGTCAATGTGTGCATACCTGATGATATCATTTTCTTAAAACCTCACCTGCCACATCCAAGGTGCAACTTACATTTAGCTGAACTCTACATTACTGCCCCCTTTGGGTTGTTAAAACACTAAAGCAGCTGTCTGTGTCTCACCTGAATGGCGCTGAGCTCAGCATGTGTGTCATACTGACTTCCCCTCAGCCAGCGAAGGGCCTTCTCAGCCCGCTGCTCTCTGCCTAAAGAGAGGAGCCTCCTGGGGGAGGAGGGCATGAACGTGAGCAGCACAACCATCAGCACAGCTGGCACCTCCCCCGCTATTGCCAGCCACCGCCATTCTACCACCAGACCTGTACATCACATGTAATATTGAGATTATGATGGCAAACAGGGACTTGTCATATCACTTAGACAAATATCACAGCTTAACTGATTATTGGCAATTTAAATGATCAGAACTATCAACTAGATAAACCAGAACAGACCCAGAAATTCTGTTAAATCTGTGTCTGAGTAAAATATTCTGCAGCCCAATGTGTAAAGATGGGAAGTAGCGTTCAGTAAAGAGATACAGGTATATGCAGCAGTGCTGGTCAGCTCTTACTCAAGGCGTAGAGCGTCAAGGATCCAAACACAGCAGTGATCTGAGGGCAAGAGCCCAGAGCTCCTCTCACTCCTTTGTGGGAGATCTCTGAGATGTAGACCTGCGACATGAACACACAGAAGACACAGTCAGAATGCATGCACATAAATTCACACAGGAAGCCATGAGGATAAATCTCGTAGAGTTTATAAGAGAGGAGGCGTGATGAGAATATGAATTTACACACTGTCTAATCTTTGATCTTCAGTTGGTGTCTGTGTAGAAAACAAACTGCTCCTGCCTTTTGCAGAAATACTGAGGCTCCTTCCTCCAACACTGCTAATTGTTTTAGATGCACACAAACAATTAGCAGTGTTGGAGGAAGTACTGAGATTCTGTACTTCAGTAAAGGTACAATTACCACAATGTAAAAGTACTCTGTTACAAGTAAAGGGCCTCAGAATTTTACTTAAGTAAAAATACAAAAGTATTAGCATCTGATTATACCTGATGTAGCTAAAGTAAAAGTAGTCATTATGAAGAATGCAACATTTTTCATTAGTCTGTATCACATTATTGATTATAATTATTGATGTATTATTGTGTCCATCACATGTTGTAGCTGGTAAAGGTGCAGCTAATTTTACCTTATATAAGTTTACATAGACTATATATATATATACTATGAGGTCAAACAACATGTTAATATAATGTATCAAATATAGAAATCAGTGACTAATTACTTCAGCTACATAGATATTATGTAAGTGTGATCAATAGTCTATCAATATGATTGTATTGTGACACTACAGGGACAAAAAGGGGTCAAAAAGCTTCTGTAACTGTGGGAGCCTACAGGAATGGATGCCGCCGTCATCCCCCCTGCAACACCAGTTAGGAAACGCCCCACATGGAGCATCCACAAGTCCACAGCCCCTCCAAGCAGCATGTACCTGAGATACAGATAATAACACAGACTCATCTACAGAGATCATGGATTCAGTTACATTATGTTTTTACTGCTGTGTGTGGACTTTTAAATACATTACAGCATTGTACATTCCCTGTTCTACATGTTTGTGCAAAAATGGAGCCTTTTATTTGTGAGGCAAAGCAACTAGCAACCAGCTGCAACTACTAAATATAGTGGAACAAGTACATACTTAGCTAAATGCATTTAACTATACAGGTCAATGACTGTATGCTGTTCCTGCAACGCACCCAACAGTCGACGGCACTGCTGACATCATGATGCTCAGCTTCCGTCCAATCATGTCGTTGAGCAGCATGGCCCCAAGCCCTCCAGCTGCTGCACCCAGCGTGAAGATGGAACCGAACCAGGCGGCCTGCTTCGTGTCCATCCTAAGCCGAGGGTCAGCATCAGGGCTCTGGAACACTGGCAGGACGGGGGATGAGTAGACCAGGGAGTAACCAAAGTTGAAGTTCCCCAGGACGGCCGCAAAAACGGCCAGGAACAGTTTGGAGTTACTGATCTGGGATGAAGAGATGAGCGCAAGTTTGCATTTAGAAGTGTTAGAGCACTTGGGTTAAGGAAAAACTACATAAAAAACACATTTTCTTTAAAATGATAGCAAAGATCAATATTCTTTTCACTGCAATTGATGAATAGATTAACATACACTTGTTTTTTGGTAGATTGTCCAGTGAGGCCCTGACGGATGATCTCTGGGAACTGAGTTTAGACAGGTTGCTTTACTTCTGTCTTGCTCCACTGAACATTTCTGCTTTTTGCTTCATTGCAGCCATACCTGCAGCACTGACCCCATAATAAACAAAAGTGATGTTGGATTGTTTGGAGTCTGGGTGTTTAAAGCCACGGTAAACCGGAATCACTGGCTGATGTGTTATAAAAATGAGACCTGCTGCCACCACTCGTGTGAACATGGCACATTTGGTTCTCCAGACTTTATCAGCTGACTTATAGCAGTGCACTGTTGTGCTCATTTATACCGCATCAGATTTAGTAGATGCAGCGTGTTCTTTTATGAAGAATAATCGAAATCGAATATCAATTTTCAAACATTTATTATCATAACTGAATGGACCTTTGAATAAAGCAATTTACAGAGCTAATCTCTTGTTTATTACCCTTGGTGTCCCAGTCACCCCAAATTCCCTGGCCTCTTCAGCCAGGTGGTGATAATAAATGAACTGTGGACCCTCTTTGCTAAAGCTGTAAATCTAATGAGATTCAGTGTTTTAGTGAACCAGTCCCTTTGATGTTAACCAGTGCTCCAGTTGGCTAACACAGTAAATACTGACCAAGAATTCAGTGAACACATAGAATGATATACTCAACTTTGTAAACATAATTGTAACATATAAGTAAGCAAACTTATGTGTGCTCTAAACTAAATCTTAACTATGATAGAATTACCATAAGCAAACAAAGTAAACACACAGGTTGACTAATCAACAAGCATAATGTTAATCTTCTACTAATTAAGTTCTTAATTCATCAAATGTTAGAATCAACCTTAAAGTATGACTTTCTTAATAATTTTACCCAACATAGAGCTGCAGCTCAGAAACTTTCAAACCAGCCCAATATCATTTGTTTTGAATGACTTGTACCTGTAACAGTGTTTTTTACTTTCTAATTTAAGACTTATTTATTTCATTTGGCTTTACATTTGAGGAGTCATTAACTGGTTGAATGGTTTGTTCGAGTGAAGATTCAAAAAAAGGCTCAAGGCTTTTGATTCAATTTTAAAATAAGTGAAACACTTCCAACCTGGGATTCAGATGATGTTGACCTTCTGTTCAGGAGCGGAGTCTCTTCATCCATGTCTGCAGCTACAGCAGCCTGGTGACAGGAGCCTTTATATAATCTGTCTCAGGACTTGCTGTTTGTTCCCCACAAACCGATGAAATATTACTAAAGTTAAAAACAAAAGCAGCTCTCTAAAAAACACAGCCAGATGAAAAGCAGTTTGAGTCCATCATATTTTGATAAAGCAAAGGTGATTCTTCTTCACAGGTCAGGAAGAAAAATAAAACCAAAAGGTTCAAATTCAAAGAGTCTTTTGTTTAAAAGCGGTGATATATGTCCTGTTCATGTGGTAAACTTGCTCTTCTGGTGCGCAGTCAATGGTGTGATTCCTGGATTAGGCCATTCAAAGAAAAAGCAGAAGAAGAAGAAGGGCAATAGATCCCACCATGACAAAAGACATTGAGAAAAAGCTAGTTATAGGTTGTCACAATGAAAACGAAACTGAAAACCCTGTTTATACTGCACTGCCAAAAGTGAAATTGAATTGGAATTCATGGTGTGAATTACTGAACATTTTAAATACGCTGCACTTTTTATACAGGTAAGGGATTGGTAATTAAAGATGAATGATGTAATCTGCTCAGTATAGATTTTGTCAGATATTAGTGGCTTTTCTACCATAAGTCACACTAAGAAGAAATGATAAATGATTATACATTTGTGGGACTAAATCTGTTCCAGATTGTCTCAAAACATTTGCTACTGATAGATTCAAATGCATCTACACCGACTTTTCAAAAACATACTGGTCAGTTAGATTTTAATCAAAACACTTTGCAAATACAAAACAGTCTCTTCTTTTTGCCTTCGACAGTGAGTTTTCTAAGCGCAGTGTAAATGAAGCCGCTGTGTTGCAATCTGATCATGAGCAGAAAGCAGAAGAGAGGAATCAACGTTGTGATTCCTGGATTGGGCCATTCAAAGAGAAAGCAGAAGAAGAAGAAGGGCAATAGATCCCCTGTCAGTCGAGTCAGGGGGAAGAAGTGTAGGCTGTTGCTCCCTCAGCCCACACATCATGAGATGTACTGCTACCCTGCAACAATACACACACACTAATAAGAGCATATACACATCATAAACTCAATGAAATGCTTGCTATTTAACAGAAGTTATCAGCAGTTTAGATTAGCTGAGGTTTTAATTGGGCACAGCAAAACATTCATGTCAGATGTTTGTCTGCTTTTGCTGTGTGATATAAAAGAGTAATCATTCCTCAGACAGGAAGGTAATGATTGCTTTTAAGTGTATAAACCTCAAGGTGGCATTGCCATAAAAAAACAACAGCAATGAGTGCTGAGCAACAAACCTAACTGAGGACTCATGAAGCTTACACTCATGCTTGCACTTAACATTCTTGAACAGCGTGCAGGAACGTGCTTTCATTATTTGACATTTTAAGAGATGGTGGATGTCAGTTTGTAGATTGATTTGAGCAGTTTACTTTTATGTTCTTCCTGTTCATTGATGGGGGAGAGTGAGAGACAGAGAGGAGCTGAGTACCTGTTAAATCCATCTGTATCTCCTCTCAGCTCCCTGATGATGCTGTGGAAACTGGAAAATGTGTTCTTATCCCAGCCTGTGGGTGAGCTTTTGTGTATTGTGTGTGGTTTTAGTGTGTATACTGTGTGTAACAAGACCAGCCCTGTTTAGCTATGTCTTCCTCCCTTCTGTTTGTTCCTTCACAAGGGGACCCAGGCTCTCAGCTGCAGCTATCCCTGCTCCACTGCACCATGGGCATCCTCAGGCCCAGCCGCTGGCTTCTGGTCCTGGGTCATATACTTCTGCTTAAGATCCAGCCCATAAAGGTTCAGGGAACTGACCCTGTGTCCCAGAAACTACGACGGCTCAATGATCAGGTCAGTTTGAATCAGACTTTGAGTGTATGTGTGTGTGATTACAGTAACAGCAGCTTATTATTTATATATATATTTTTACATTAACATAAAGGCTAAGCTATTATATTGTTTTTCAATGATGCAAAATAAATACAGTAGCAGTTGTTAGTGGGCTTGTACTTGTATAGTGCTTCTCTATGCATTGCAGCACCCTCAACATGCTTTCACACTATTTGGCCATTCACCCACTCACACACCCAAGCACTCACACAGATGGACTGGACAAACCAGCAATCGAACTGCTAATCTGCTGGTTAGGAGGCGACCCACTCTACCTCTTGAGCCACAGCCACCAAGCAGTGGCCAAACAGTTAGTATAACATCAACCTCAGCCAGCGTAGTAATGACTTGACTTTCTGACTGGCCTCTGCAAAAATGCGGTTCTCTGCAGCTGCTGGGTTTATTTTGTTTTTCAGTGACTTGTCATAACATCAGACGAAATATAAGGGAAAAAAATAAAGCTTTGTTTGTTCTGGGGCAATAGAGCCAAAGATTTTATTAGACAGACCTCCTTGATTAGAGACCTTTTTGAAAAACCTTATCGGATGAAACTTCCAAAAACATTTTGTCATATTTACTCTGCAAAGCTAAAACACAGTAAGTACAGAGTTGAGACTAGAACTTAACTTTTAACACCTGGTTTACCATTAGAAAATATTATGCCATATTAATGTGTAATTTGGGGGCATGTCAGTTTAGTAAGAACTAGAAATCAAAGGCTAAAATCAGCTAAATCAAGCTAAAAAGAATTAAGCTACATTTCCTCCAATTGAAAAATCATCAGACATCATAATAAGAGTTTGTTCAAGGTATAAACAAGGCAGTAACTACATTTAATCATCATGGAAATAAAAAGCAACACCGGGTTTCCAAAAAGCCAAACAGCCTAGCTTAGCAGAGGTGCAGTAAATGTGACCTTTATTATAACTTGATGTGGTTAAGCTAGCTATAAATAGTATTGTATGTAATTAAAGATTCATTTATTAAGATAGCTTATAGCCAAGAAAGCTAAAGTAGAAACAAGAACTAATTTTGTGCAGCTAAAATTCCATATGACCGATTAATACTCAGCCACAAAAGGCATAAAGTTAAGGTTTTGTTACAGTTAGCTACAGTATTGTGTATAAGTACTGAAGGTAGCTGAAATGATGGAAAAACAGTTGCAACAGTGATGAGTGTTCAAGATATACAGTCATTACAGTACATGTTTTTTTCCTCTGGAGATTTTGAGTATTTTCCTGATCCAAACAGCTGCAGAAAGATTTGTGAAAACCCATTTCTTCCCTGATAGTTCCAGCAGTTCCGGGCGCTGGCCCAGGCCCGTTTGGATTTGTTGGCCTTGAACCAGAACAGAAACTCCTCTGGGGGCCTGGAGAGCCGTGTCCAGGCCCTGAATGACCATTACCACCACATGTCACAGGACCTTGAACACCTCAAGCAGAGCACAACGCAGGAGATAGAGGCTCTCAGGTTAGCGCTGAGGGACAGCTGGGCTGAACATGTGTGTGGACTGATACATCCAAGACCAATCCCTGTATACTGTTTACATTTAGCAAGCAAAAACAATTTATAGCATCATATAAACCAGAGGGCAGCTGGAGTTTACAGGTAAGTCCAGTTTACTGGTTAAGTTCAGAAAATGACAAGAAACTGGTGGCTGGAAAGTAATGACTCAGCACCTGGATTGCTTGGCATGAAACCTTGGACACCCCTTTTTAGGAGATGCATCCTGCAGACCTTGGAGAGCTCTTGGCATTTTTCTAGAATAATAAATGGTACATGGTTTCAATGAAGTGTCTCGACAACTATTAAATGGATTATCATTAAATTTGGTGCACACATTGGTATTCCCCTTAAATTTAATTGTAATAATCATTTGGATCTCTTAATTTTTAATCTAGCACCATCAAGTCAAAATTGGATTTATCCAAAACTTTGGTTTATGACCACAAATCTTCAAAACTAGTACATATTCTCTCAACCTGGACTGTGCGTTCTGTTTAATGCTAATGTTAGCATATTAGCACACTACACTACAAAAGTGACATGTGAAACATACTTGCGAATCACTAGCTAAACATTGTGACCACGTTAACATGGTGATGTTTTGTTCAAGGCACCACTGTATGTTTCACAGACATTAGCCTAGCATGGCTGCAGATTCTTAGTCTTGTTTTAACATCGTCCTATCTCATTGTATGTTATTTTAACATTATCCTGTTAATGCATTTTTTGTTTTGTTAGAATACAGCACTATATGTTAATGTCATAAATGTTGTTGGATGAAATATCATTATAATTGACAAACTCCTCCCAAAATGTCCTTGGCAAAACAGCAAAAACATTTTGATCATTTAGCTTAAGGCTAAATATACTTTATGATGCATTTACATAAATTAAATAAAACCTATTTTCATGTTTAACATCACAGAGACTGGACTAGGAAGATTGAGAAGAAGAATAAAAGGTTGGAGGGTCGTCTGGCTTTGATGGAGAGAAACCTGAGAGAGTTCCGCCGCCATGCCCAGAGACAGAAGCCTGATCCTATTCAGGATTTCCTCAACCTCACTCTGGAGCTCCAAAGCCAAGAGGAGAGGCTAGATGCCCTTCAGATCCAGCGTGATGAGCTGGTAGTTGGGCTAAAAGGGTTGCAAGAATCCTTGATAAATCAGGCCCTGCGAGTCACCCAACTGGAGGACCGTCTTAATGAGGTGCTGCAGTGGAATAGAGGAAGGAATATCATGGGGTCAGGGAGGGTGGGAGAGCCTCTCAGCTCCAACAGCACACCTCAGGAATATGACAAACCACACAGCAATACACAAAACCAAAGACAAGGAAGGCCTGGAAGGATTCTTGGAGGACATACCCAACCCAGACGAGAAGGAATCAGCCAAGCCAAACAGGCCAAGCCGTATCAGAACCACTCAACAAACCAGCCTAAGCGTTCAAAAGCCCAGAAGCTAAGACCTCAGCCAGACTCTCATCCACATATACAAGACCAGTATCCAAATCCATATTACCTGCCCCACCCTGAGCCTTACCGTCCCCAGTCACAGCTCCAGATCCAAGCCCAAACACAGCCTTACCCGATCCAGCAGGAGCAGCTCCAGTCTCGCCAGACTGAGCCTTTTCATCATGCCCAGATCCAAGCCCAGGTCCAACAACCATCCCAGCCTCAGTTACACCCTCAGACAGGCTCCCAACTTCCCAACCCCCGTCACCCATCTTGGCCCCATTCACAGCCTCAAACCCAGTCTGAACCCACCAAAGACAGACAGAGAAGCACCAGAGTGGGAGTCTCCCCTCCACAAGCCTCAGATTTTCTCCCTCAAACCCAGTCTGAGTATTATCAGCCCAGGGCTACTACGTGGAAAGGTGAAGAGGAAGAAGAAAGTGACATAAAGGTAGAATCTTCAGTTATCCATAACATGCTCCAGCTTCCTGTGAGGCACAAGATTCCTGCACAACCAGTTCCCAAAAAGCATGCAACCAGTAAGTAAAAGCACTGTAGGAAAAACATGATTGATTAAGTGCTAATTAAAATACTGGGCAAAGCAATTAGAATATGATAAAGAGGCAGCAAATACAAGCCAATCTAATGAAAGAGAGCAACACCAGTTTTAACCAGTGATAGTGTCTCTCTATCAGTGAGACTCAAATTGTAGCTCAGATACATGCAAAAAAATCTAAATTCAAGTTGTATTTTGCATGCATAAGCCAACTCAAAGTGATCCTCCTTCTGTATTTTTCTGCAGTCTGTAATGTAGATTCCATGCTGTTCTTCCCTTCGGCATCACTGGAGAACTACGTCACCTTCTTCTCAACTTTTCCTGATCTTCCTGAATTTTCGGTGTGTCTGTGGCTTCGTGTAGAAAACTCCCATGTCGGCACACTGCTCTCCTATGCCACAGATGACAATGACAATCAGTTAGTTTTGTATGGACGAAATGTCTCTGCTTCTTCCTCATCCTTCCAGCCCTTCTACTCCTCTTCTCCACCCTCACCTTTTTCCTACCCCATTGCTTCCTCACCTTCTCTGGACTTTGTCCTTGGAGACCCTGTCTATCGCAGCCTTCCAGTATTGTTGCTGCTGGATGCTCACTGGCACCACCTCTGTGTCCTCTGGTCCTCCATCCAAGGTCGGTTCTGGCACTATAATGACCGGCGCCTCACCTCTTCAGGCTCCAACTTCAGAAAGGGCTGGGAGATTCCTGGAGGTGGAACTGTGGTGTTGGGTCAGGAGCAGGACTCTGTTGGTGGAGGGTTTGATCCCACAGAAGGTTTTGCAGGGCAAGTGGCAGGGTTCAGGGTATGGAACAGAGTCCTGAGCCCCTTGGAGGTAGAAGGGGTGGCAGAAGGGAAAGGTGTTCCCAGAGGGGTGGTGCTGGGTATGGAGGATATAAAGGAGGTACATGGAGAGGTGCAACAGGTGGCTTGTGAATGTTTAGAGCACTGTGTGGGATGAGTTCATGAAGGATTCCTCCTATTCTTAAGAGGTCAAATTCGGATTTAATTGAAACTCTTAAAATGTGCAGTGGTCCATTAAGAGACAGTTTTAGTTATATATCTTTTTGGCTTTAAAATCAGTTCAAAGACTATCATTAGTTATCGGTACAGTATATAGCATATAGGTTTGTCTTTTGGATTGCCAGTAAAAGCTAAAGTTGTGTTTTTATATATAAATAAAATCTGCAGTGTTGTATATTTTTGTTTGGTGCACAGATACAAAAGTCTAGTGAAGTGTGGTGGAATGTAATTAACTACATTCATTCAAATATGAATTTGATGTTCTTGTACTTTACTTGAGTGTTTCCATTTCATGCAACTTTAAATTTCTGCACTCCTTCAATTCTGAGGAAAATATTCTGTTTTTTTTCCACCCCTGTACATTTATTTGACCACTTTAGTTACTTTACAGATCAGGATTTTATGGACAAGGCATATGATGAGCTTGCAAAATATGATATACTGTTGTAGATTAAACGCCAAAGCAGTATAAAATAGTTGAAAATGTTACACCTTAACTAAGTACTACAAAAATACTATTTACACATAAAAACATCTGTAATTGTAGTCAAATAATCTCATATATAATAGTGACAGTGTAAGATGCTTATTTTCAAAATTTCTGAATTGATGCTTTAAGTACATTTTACTAATGCTAATAATACTCTGTCTTAAGTGAAAATAAGTATTTTTGTATCACAGTGCTTCCAGCTTTACAGTAAGCCAATTGTCTTTGCACACAAACTTCAGTTTTCGCCCACAGGCAGTAAAACAACAAATCCCAGCATTCAACGCGCCTGACAATTAGCTTTGGCCCTGCGCGCGAGCCTTACAAAACGTCACGAGATGCAGGAACAGTCATGGGGAGTTGAGAAAAAGAAAAAGAAGTTAGCCATCTGCAACAGCAATTAATGGAATAATTTAGCGACGGCTTCAACGACGAGCTATCAGAGTCCACTATGGCTAACATTACGAAGAAAGTGTCGTGGTCCAGCCGAACTGACGAGTCGCTGTCAGCTGGGGAGACCACACCGTTGCTTAACGGCTCCGAGCAGCCCAGACACCCCAGACAGGTACAGCTAGCATGTTGGCTAACTGTTAGCATAACAGGTGCTGTTGTTGCAGCAAGACGAAGATGCTGTGTCACATCTTTTTAACCATTATAAAGTTGTGTTGAGTCATGTATATAATTTCTGCATGGGTCATGATTGCTGGAAATGAATGTTGTACATTGCCGCATACAGAGCATTCATTTTGGATGTCTTTTCATGCATTATGGCATTTTTGCAGTTGAGTCAAGTTAGTTATAAACAACAACTTTGCTTAAGTTGAATATAACTGTATGAAAATATGCCAATCAAATTTATGGTAATTACATTACTTAGACGATGTATGTACTCGGATATAGCTATCCTATCCAGAAAGATGTCGAAAAGTTTAGAAAAATTAGTTATTCTCATCGATTGTTACCGGGATTTCTGTCTTAAACTGGAAAAGGAACACGTCCATCAGGTAACTGACCTATATTTTTATATTATTTACACGGTTGCTGTTAATGTTAGAGGTCAGAATAGTATTAAAAGTGAACATCAGTGTCTGATAAGTCGTGCTTAGCCTGATGTCTTTAGACTAAATTACACTTCTCTTGTTACTGTATTTAATTAGGGTTTTACTTAATATAAGCTAAGAGATGTTAAGTGTCCTAATTTAGTTATATACACTAATGGTGAAAAGTTTTAGGACAGACTCATTTTCCCAGTTTTATTTTGACATGTAATCAGTTCAGGTTTACTAAATAAACTGCCTGAGGGGGGAAAAAAACCACCAAAAACTAAAAAATTATGTAAATTTCATATGAAACGGGGATCCAGTACCAGGTTAGCGTTTCTGCACCAGTGGAAGTAAATGAAGCCTTGAAAACAGGTGCCTGTAGTTGATTTTCAGACATGAACACTTGCTTCCTCTTGAGTCAACTATGAGCAAAGTAACAATTTCTGCTTCCCTAGGGTTTTGTAGTACTCATCGGTCAGGGCATCATAAATATGGAAGTCCATTACTTTAGATGCTAGATGCTAACATCTGCGTAATTTTAGCCAGTAAACCAGGAAATTGCTACACATAGCCACACATGTATATATATTTTTCTGTCTGTGATTTCTGTAGTTGTCTAGAGGAGGCAGGATATTTCAGCTAGGCAGACTGAACACAGTGGATTTGGAAGAGGAGATAACATCAGATGAGGTAAAGTCTGAACTCGAAACATCATCACTCTCTCTGTCTCTCTGTGTCTGTCGTGCATATTGATCCTCACTCCATCAGTACCCTTAGCAGCACTTCTGTTGGACTCCTGAAGTGTAGTTAGTCAATCCACTATTACAATAAAACCCAATTATCTACAACCAAATCAATGAGAAGTAATCAGTTACACATATAGTGGGGGCATTTGAGTTTGGCCTGATTTATGAGATGCTCCTTGAAAGGAAGTTAAGGTGTCAGAAATTGTTGTATTTAATTTAAGCTGAGCTCGCAGCTGAAGCTTCATGTGTGAGACCTGTGTGTGACCTGCTAACAGGCCAGATCAGCCCAGCATCAGCTGACTCATCCAGTCTGCATGAGAGGCACATGTTTGGAAACTGTCTGGTTATTCCCACTGTGATGCATAGCAAAGTATGATGTGATGCCTGCCCTGTGTTTTGCTCAGCTGTTCAGTGTTTTCAGACACTGACTGATTCCACACACTGGTTAAAGTTCAGAGCGATAGGCATTTTGGACAGGACTTCATCAAATCCCTTTACTTTACAGTAAACTAAAAGTGCAGCTAATATGAAGCCTAAAAGTGCCATTGAGATTGAACTAGCTTGCAAAAGAGTCAGTTTTAATGAAGTTTATTTGTGTAGCTCTTCACACAGTTACAGTGAGTCCCATAAAGACCCTGTAAAAGTCAAATAAATCGCAGTGAAATTCAGTGTATGAGAAGCACTCCAATGGTTCAGGCTACAGTCAATGGGGACAGCTCAGTATAGAACATATGATAGACGCTTGAGTTTATTTGAACATAACTTAGTTAAATAGGATATCGCGCTGGTTCCCAGCAGAAACCATTATATTTGCTTCTGTTTCACTGGCTGCTGTGAATGTGATGCCATGCATGTTTTGTTTGTTGTTGTTTGCTCTTGTTCTGTTTATTGAAATGTTCGTTACTTTCTGTAGTTACTTTCATTGCTGCTGATTGTAACTCACTCATTTGCACTACTGTTTCTGTCAACACTAAATATTCTGCATTGACATTGGAAAAATCTTAAATGCTCCTACAAGAGTTCCTTATTTCATAGCTTTCCTTCTATTGCTGCAGTGTTTGTACTAAATGTTCAGGAGGAAACACTGGTGCTTTTGTTTTGCTGTCACTAGTCATAAGTCATTAAAAGTCTGTCAAACCTGTCTCCTGCTCTTTTAAATGAGTCTTGAGAGCAAAAAACAGCTTTCTCATCTTGTTTCAAATGCTTCTCAATTGTTGCTCAGTGCTGTTGAGCATATGTGTTTCCTTTGACTCCTTGTTGATCCTCAGTCAGAGGTTGTACATCAGTGATGGTGTGGTGACGTCTGTTTTTTCTGTGTTTTCCCCCGAAGGACTCTGGTAGGGGGCGGCTCAAAGAGATCCCTCACACTGAGAAGCTGCTGTCACTTAAATATGAGGTAAAACAATACACTCACCCAACAGAATATGGATTATTAGCTGATTCTCAAACTCCCGGATTTGATGACAGCATTTTCAATAAATACAATCCTATATTTGAAGGATTTAAAACTTTCCTGCTTATTTGACAATTTGTAGGGGGTTGTTGGGAGATGTTATACATCTGTAAACTACAGGTGGCACTGTTTCAACAATGGATTGTCCTTTTTGTGTAGCTTTAGTTCAGAGCTGTAGCAAATTCTATCACTGCTGCAAGCTACAGTAGCTAGGTAGCTCACAATGGGTCAAGTGTCAATTTTAGCAGAAATGAGTAAAACATCCATCCCCTCTGTGATGCTTATCTGGGTCTAGATAACATTCATTTCATCATGAGATGATTGTTATATACTGCTGGGAGGTTCAAATAAAATGTTCCATTATATACATCGGACGGTATGATTGTGACTTGGATATTAAACTGCATTCAATGTGGTATTTTCTTAAAAACCTTCAATATAAGTTGGTGGACCCTAAAGGGTGTCCCACCATCACCGGGCATGCATGAACTAGCTTGTTGATGGTTTATTATTGTGACAGTAAAGCTGACTTGTACATATAGAAAGAGTAAATGCAGTAAATACTCAGCCCCATCCTGCACACTGCTGTGAGGTGGATGTTTGTTATGGTACAAGTTAAACTGGCATCTTCTGAAAATCAGAGAATAGATACTGATCCGACATGTGATAACATCCTGACTGTAACTTTGTTTCTGTGGACGACAGGTGGCGTTCTGTTCTCTCTAGAGGAGGGCGCTTCTTTCTGGAACCAGATGCTGACGTGGAGGATAGTAAGTCGTGGTGGTCCTGTGTGCACCCCAGTTTATAAATCCTGGTGTCAAGTAAAATCAAGAGGTTTGCTCTCAGAATGTTAGATGAAGGTTGAAATGGTAGGTAGATGGATGAGGATTGGGAATGTTTTTAGCATTCTCTTCTTAATCTTTCTCATCTACAGTTCTTTGCCTCCATGATCTCCACCTTCACCCTGAACTTCTTCCTCAGTGTCTATCACAATAATACAGGAGACCTTTCCAACCCAGGAGAAATGCTCTTGGTTTGCACTGAAACCGCTGACATTGGTCCAATATAGTGTTTACACACAGTTGGTTTTGTCACATTTTCAATATCTGTGTTTATCATGAACTACAGAGAAATAGAATCATTATTTTACAGATTTTATGGTGTTTGTTTTATCATGTGCGTGTTATTCCAGAGTCTGGACTATGACAACATTGAGAACCAGTTGTTTCTTGAGGAGGAGCGGAGGATGGGTTACTTGGTGAGTAGAACGAGAAAATGCGACGAACTACCTGAACATTTTACTGTTTACAAATTCATATATTTTCCTTCGTCTCATCTACTCTCATATCTCTGCTGTTTCCATTACCTCTCTCATTATGTGTCTTTAGAGTTTCCGTTGTCTGGAGATCAGTCGCTGGGTGGTCTGCGGGCTGATCGGCATTCTGACTGGCCTCATTGCCTGCTTTATAGACATCATGGTGGAGAAGCTGGCTGGGATAAAATACCAAGCGATCAAAGAGAGTATCCTGAAGTGTGTTAGCACCGGTGTTACTGGTGTAGCCGTGTCATATGTTTTGTTAGAGCATGTGAACTTATGTTCCCAACTCTCAGTAACCAGTGTTAATGGCTTCACCTTATGTTCTTCAGAAAAGCTACTGACAGTATAATTGGCCAGTAAACAGTTGGGCTGAATTCAGTGTGTGTTCTCAGCACCCATCGGTGTGTCCTTGACCTCGAACCCTCACAGACATCGAATGTACAAGGTGACACACATTCTGTCTTTTCTTAGAGTGTGGCCTACAACATCTATGAGATTCCCCTGTTCATTGCTATGGGAGCTATAGGTAAAAACTTTGTGTTTAAGTGTTGGCACCCTTTTTTTAGGGTTTGAAAGTCTTAACACGACAGCACGTGTGTGTATATATTTTGATTTGCCTTCCTGTGCAGGTGGATTGCTTGGAGCTCTGTTTAACGTTCTCAACTACTGGCTGACCATCTTCAGAATTAGGTAGGTAGAAGGGCTGGGCAATTAATCGAATGTAATTTTCAATTACGATTTTGAATTCTGATGATTATGACAATAAAATGAACCTGAAGAAGCAAAGATTTATTTGTAAAATAGAGTAATAAGTACAGTGTTTCCCACAGAATTAGATTCTACTTACTGCCTCTGTGCTTGCTGTGCTGTTCATCTTACCTGTCGCTGCTGCACTAGCAGCCTCTCCTACATCTCTCTCTTCAGCTCTGTTTTCCTGACCCTCGCTGGCTGAAGCCTGGAAATATTCAGAACTGATTAACTGGATAGCTAACAGCTGTATACTAACGCTACCTTAGCTATCCTTGCTAGCTTGCTAATAATCACAGAGTCGAAGCTCCCTGATTGACAGCACAGTGTTAAAACCACAAACACAGTGCGAGACGTTTACAGCGGTGGGCGGCCTGTCCGTCTCTCTTCTCCTCTGGGCCGTCCTCAACTCTGCCTTTGTCATGGTGGGGTCCATTATAGTTGCGTTTTGTGAGGTAAGACAAAGGAAAAACGGTTTGAAAACAATTCCTGTTTTATTTCGGCTTTCATCCTCTTCTGTGACCATACTCTTCAAGTGTGCGAGTGGCTTTTGAAGAAGTGTCTCATAAACACACTCTTCAGCCAGTTACATGTCTCGGTTATAAACCATTCATGATGTGGAAGTGAAAACTGCACAGGTTTGCCTCCATGACTGCATAATGCTGAAAAGTAAAGATGAATATGCTTCTCCATTCCTCCCATTCTGGTAAGCCACATGTGAGGTTTTGTTAGGTAACATTGTAGTTTCCTCCTGCAACCAGACTGCTGAAGAAGTGCTTCTTCTGTGATTTGTTTTGCAATTGTTCTAGATTGATTATGAATAAAGCACACAACCACTGTTTTCAGGTCATATCCTGTCACGCCTTCCGATATTACCCCTTCAGTCATAAATACTGTAAGACGCTGTTTTGTCTTTCATCACCTTTTGTCTTCTTGTTCAATGCAACTCTTCACACTTCTCTGTCTCATCCAGCCCATCGCAGCAGGAAGTGGTATTCCTCAGATAAAATGTTACCTGAACGGAGTCAAGATTCCCAGGGTGGTCCGACTCAAGGTACACGCACGATAATAAATGAACCACTGTTTTTAAACAGGAGGGAGTGTCATATCCTTACATTCTGTGCTTGTCCTCCACAGACACTGGTGGTGAAAGTGTGCGGTGTAATCTGCTCAGTGGTCGGAGGCCTTGCTGTGGGAAAGGTAAACATTGTTAATCTAAAAACTCGCCAGCGAAACTAGAACATGCAACAGCTTTATCAGTTCTATGTCATTCAGATTAAGGATGTAGTGATGTGATACAAGCTCTGTTTTGGGCCCATTTGAGATTTTCACCCAGTATGTTAAAACTTTTCATTCCTGACAAGAATTTCCTTTCATATCTGTCCTTGTTTACCCACAATCCCTCAGGAAGGGCCCATGATTCACTCTGGTTCTGTTGTAGCTGCAGGAGTTTCCCAGGGCAGGAGCACTTCTTTAAAGAGAGACTTCAAGGTCAGTGTGTGTAGTGAGGAAGTATCAGATTGGAAAACGATCATATTTTCCTTCCTTGTAATTGGATTTGCCTGGTTACAATTAAATACTAGGAGTAATTGGTCAAGCGCGGTTGTACCGTTCATATGTGTCTATGGTTACAGTACATTGCTATTATCATTTGCATTTCTTTTTTAATTGTACATATGGCAGCCCTTATATATGGTAGTTTATTTTCTTTAATGAATATTTGTATTTTTATGCATGCATATAAATGTGTGTGTGTGTGTGTGTGTGTATATAGTTCAACTTTTTTTTTTTTTTTTAAATATCCTGGTGGTTTATGTATTGTATGGTCTGTGTTTTCTGTCGTAGCCTTCACTGTGGGTCTGAGAGAAACGTGATTTCAATCCCCTGTATGCCTTGTGCATATAGTAGAATTGACAATATAACTGACTTGACTTGACATGTGTGATTTAGGGCTTTCACTTTTTCCAAAAACCAAATTCAAAACAGGTTTAAACTGACACAAAATTCATTCAAAAATAAAAAGTGTAGATTTGGGCTTAATATTTAATTAAAATTCGTTCCACTTCATCATTGTGTCCCACTTGTTGTTGATTCTTCACAAAAAATTACAGTTTTATATCTTTATGTTTGAAGCCTGAAATGTGGCAAAAGGCCGCAAAGTTCAAGGGGGCCGAATACTTTCGCAAGGCACTGTATTCACAGACGGCGTCACGGCACATTGTCAGTGTATGTGTGCGTGTGACAGAGAGAGAGCGAGGCAAGAAGCGGCTGAGCGAATTAGTGCACTGGGAAATTATGTAATCGATTGCATAAGTTCTCTCAGACATAAAAAAAAAAAAAACTATTATAATAAAGATGGGTTGCCAAATATACTTGGATAGCTGTTAATATACCTGGGCGGCCCGCCCAAGTGAAGTCTTTGTGGGGAAACACAGAAGTCGTTTCCTCTGAACTGTCAATCAGTTAGGTAGATGAAATACTTAATTTGGTTTTAAAATAAATCATATTTAGTTCAAGTTCAAGTTCAAGAAGACACGCTGTTAAAAGACTAGGTTTTTTTTTTTTTTTTTTTTAAGTTCAATAAATGCTTAATATTTCCAAAGTCAGTGATTAATGGTGAACATAATATTGGCAAGGCCAGGCAAGTTTATTTATAAAGCATGTTTTAATACACGAAGTACTTGTTGAACAAAATGATTGTGGTTCTGACTTTTGCTGTAACCATGCAGTCCTTAGTCAGTACCTCTCACTGCTTTGGCTTATTTATACGCTGTCGGGAGAGTTTAGCTAAAATATCATGACATGCTGCAGGAGTAGGTCAGTCAGGTGAGAACAGACGCTGCTCCACTCATCTGTGGTCAAGTTAACTTTGGTTCCTCACTTGGACAGTGAGATTACAGGTGAGCCCTCAGATGTGGCGTATGATGTAGGCATCTGCTTTTTACCACGTTGGAACAAATGTTTGAAATGGAATAAAAAGTGACAGCCCTGGTGTGAGTAAGAAGCATTTATAACTGGTGATAACTGTTGGTATGTGTTTGTAGATCTTTGAATACTTCCGGAGAGACACAGAAAAGAGGGATTTTGTTTCTGCTGGAGCTGCTGCTGGAGTTTCTGCTGCTGTTGGAGCACCAGTCGGTAAAAACACTGCAACCCTTGTGAACTAAACAATATAAACAATTACTTTGTCATTAATCTGCCTTTGTTACATGTTAGCTTAGTTATAAAACTGGCAGTACAACAGTATGGCTGCATGCCCAAACTCGAGTAAAAGAAACGTGTATGGAAACTCCCTCTGAAGCACTTGTTCACTAAGGAAGTGCAGCTCCTGGTTGTACCAGTTACATTAAACAGTTAGAGTTTGATGATTGATGATGTCGATGATAGTGAGATCAGTGGGAAAATTTTAAGATAAAAATAAATAGAATTAAAAATAATTTTCTTAACAAACTAGATAGAGAAAAAGAGAATAACTAAGAAAATTGTGACACGTGCAGAGTTGTATTGGAGCAACCTTTGTCACAATCATCTGTGTCGCCATCTCTTGAAAAGACTGAAAGCACCGAGTTTATTTATTTTTCAGAAAAGACCTTAAAATGTATTTAAAAGGCATTAATTTCAGGTGACACAATAAGAGCTTCCTTGTAGTGTGCCACTAAATAAACTATAACAAAAAGCACTGTAGCATTTAAGCTTTGCTGTTTCCCAGTCATGAGGAAGCAGTTTCACAGAATGTCAATAACTTTTGATTTCATGTTTAAAAATATTCACGTGTAAGAAACGGGTAGGGCCACTGGGAAATCGACTGGTCTGGGTGGAGACTTCTGCTGAGATACCTGTAGTTCCTGCTTCCTTGTTTGAAGCTGGATGTTGGTGTGTTGTTTTTTAAAGTTCAACTATCCATGAGTTATGATTTTATAATGTAGATATATCTGAGTATGTAGTCTGA